GCCAATGGCAATGTCTGGTGGGATCTAGCCGCAAACTGTTGTTCCATAACTGTAGTGGTCTGAGGTGGAGTAAACCCAGGGGAATCACCACTGTGGCTGCCGTTAACATCCCTATTAGTCGCAGGACCACCTTGTACTGCAAAGACACACCCTGGCGAAAGCGAGCCAAAAGTTGCAGAATGTTTGTCACACATTCCTGAGACAGGGAGGCAGACATTAGGTGGGAATTCAGGGTCATTCCTATGAACGTAGTGGTCTGTGTTGGAATAAGACAGCTCTTTTTCTCGTTCACAGTAAAACCCAACTTCCGCACATGTCTCAAAAGTAGTCTGGAGTCTTGCACAGCCTGCTGTTTCGTGGGGGCACAAAGAAGCCAGTTGTCCAAATAGGGCAGAATATGCATACCTCTTATCCAAAGAGGAGAAAGAGCTGCATTCATACACCTTGTAAAGACGCGAGGAGCAAGGGAAAGCCCGAAAGCTAGCACTTTGAACTGGTACGCTTGATTCAGGAAACTGAAACGCAGAAACGTTCTGTGATGAATGGGAATTGTCTCAAAATGTCTCAAGCTTTATGTGTGTGACTTTTAGTGGTCGTGTAGGGGCACTGACGGGGTCCCCCTGGCAACTGTCGATGAGGTGGCCGAAAAACTCTCGCATCCTCAGTAACACGAGACCTTTGAGGGGACTGTGACTGAGGTGTAGCGTGCCGGCGGAAACGTTGCTCCGATGTGGCATAGTGATGACGGGTCTGAACTGTTGGCATCCTAAAGGTAGGGTTGCGCTGCACCTGCGTCAGCTGACGAGTGGCCTCAGACAGCTTTACCCTCTTTTCCAACAGTTCCGGAACATTAGGACCAAAAAGATGCCCGGGAACAAATGGAAGATCTCTTAAGGTTTTCTTACAGTCCTCAGGTTGCCGTGCTTGGGCAAGCCACACTTGGTGGCGGGCTGCCAGGAGCGTGGCTGTAAGACTACCCAGCTCGCGGGTCACATGGCCCATTGTCAAGAGAGCAGTTTGCAGAAACTGTGAAATATAGGGATCAACATTTGCTGGTTCCAACGTACTGGTGGCAGCAAGAAGTAACTGGCAGATTGTGTTTTCCGCATGAGTAATGTAGGCAACAGACTCGTATGCCTTTTTTAGTAGGAAATCCATACGACCACATTGAGCACTGGGACATCGCACATTCCCTCGTAGTGCCTCGTCAGGAGACACCACCAAAGCTGCAACAGGCAGCTCTATCTCCGGAGCACGACTCACCCCGATGGAATATGCTTCAGCCATAGATGCTAGCATCCAAGCAATCTTTGAGCACCGCTTAGGCGGACCAGAACCAGTGAGGGCATTTGAAAATTCAGCCACAAAATCTTTACATTGTGGCATGGCGAAAGATGCCACAACTTCTGGCCTGTCTGAAAAAAACATTTGTTTGGGTAGACTGGACTGGTGACTCATCAAGTCCTAGACGAGCAATTGCCATTCGAAAGTACAGCCAAAGTATCATCGGAAGAGGACTGGGCCTGTCCAGATGACTGAACTGACCCTCCACTAGACCCCTCTGCTGCTGGATAACCAGTGAAAACATCCTGAGGAGATGGTTGTGCAGCAACATCTACAGCATATCCGTGATCACGAAAAAAAGAATCTGAAGCACTCGTAGAAAGCACATCCATATCAGAATGATGTGAAAAACAAGGGGAATCGAGAGACTCTTCCCCCCATTCTGAACATTCTTATCCTCCTGTGTCATCTTCACAGGTGTAGCAGATGTGACAGGCTGAAGTGATGTGACATGTGGCCAAGTATGGTGACCCATACTTGGAATTAGTGCTCTGCATTTTAACCCATCCAAAGTGCACACACACAGCAGTGAACACACACACACACCGTGAGCACACACCCGGAGCAGTGGGCAGCCATTTATGCTGTGGCGCAGTTGGGGAGCAGTTGGGGGTTCGGTGCCTTGCTCAAGGGCACCTCAGTTGTGGTATTGAAGGTGGAGAGAGCGCTGTACATTCCCCCCCTCCACCTACAATCCCTGCCAGTACGAGACTCGAACCCGCAACCTTTGGGTTACGAGTCCGACTCTCTAACCATTAGGCCACGACTTCCCCCTAGAAGCAAGTGAAGCAGGCGTTTCAGCTCTGCCATCTCTGAAGAAAGCACAGAAACCGTCTTAGAAAGGGAATTTTCCTCAACATGCGAATGTTTATCACTTCGTGATGTGGCCCTCTTCTTAGGCCCTGTCCACACGAACGCGATTATTTTTAAAACCACAGCTTTTTCTATGCGGTTTGGCCGTTCATCCACACGCAAACGCAGCACCAGGTTACTGAAACCGAACATTTTTGAAAACGCCTGCCAGGGTGAAGATTTTCAAAAACTCCGGTTGCAATGTTGTCGTGTAGACGGCGAAACCGGATTTTTTGGCTTGTGACGTTGGCGCATGTGCTGTTATCTCCGCCTACTGGAAACTTTTTCAGGCTTCTGATTGGCCAACATGGCTTTACGGTTGAGATTATATCGCCACCTGTTGGTTTGGCATGCTCTTGACAGTGCTTCATAGCATGCGTTTGCGTTTTCATGTGGACGGAGATTTTTTTTAAAACGGAAGAAGGAAAATCTCAGTTTATAAAAATACCCGTGTACGTGTGGACATGGCCTTATATGGGAGGGGAGTGCCGGCTGCCGCGGACGCCTTGCGCTTCCGAATTCGCGAAGGGGCTACATCCAACTGCTCGAGTTTCACCGTTGAATTAGCGTCTAACTCAGCAAGACAGAGCCGTCGTTCCGACATAGGTAAAAGCCTGCAGTGCAGAAACGGGCCCGTGAGAGCCTCTCTCAGATGTTGGACACCCAAACATGACGGGCAGATGTCATGACCGTCGTCCGGGAGAAGATTATTAGGGCACAGCTTACAAGTCAGTGGAAAACCAGTGGCAATCGAGCTGTGAGCCATAGTTACTCGCTAATAACACCCTCGGATAGCACCGTAAGTTTTAAGTTAAGCGGGATGATGGTAACAACGAAGACAGGCAGGAAAAATGAAAACAGTTATTTTAAATAGTAAAAATATTACCGTTTTTGCTGTATTTAGGATCAAATAAATGCAGGCTTGGTGAGCAGAAGATAATTCTTTAAAAAACATTAAAAATCTTACTGTTCAAAAACTTTTGACTGGTATGTTAGCCTATAGTTTGAAGTAAAAAATATTAATATTAATAAGGAGAGATTTATTTGACAATGATTTCACATTTCCTGTTTGTATGAAGGCTAAATACCAATAAAAGGTGAACATTTATTTATTTGCGCCATTTTTTCCTAAAATATTATATCGTTTTATAGGAGTAAGTTTCATAGAGTTGGCAAATTAATTTTTCATAAGTTTGTAGGTACAGACATCTGTTGTGGCCGTTCTTGGTCATTTTTATGAGGCTTTTTTAATAGTGTTCATATCGATATCGGAATTATATCGTATCGACCGAAATTAAGAAATATATCGTGATATAAATTTTGGCCATATCGTCCAGCCCTATATACACGATTCCCTCGGGTGAATCGACAGGTAATGCCAACAAGTATCTCACGAAAAAAGGAAAATATATCTAAAATGGCCGACGGATTGAACCGAAGGGCACAGAGTATAACATAAATTCAAGGAAAAACACTCAGAATAGTTCATAGATAAGTCAACGGGAGACCGTTAACTTACTGTCGCGGAAAACACCAGCCACCGGATAGCACCGAGAGGCATAGAGTGTAACCGACGAAGCAATATAGACTCAAGTAGAAAATCAAAAACTCACTGCTAAATATACTCTAAATCCGTTGGAGTGGCATAGATGCACACTGACACAGCTTGTGAGGACGATATCTCGCTGCTCTAGTAAGCTGCACTTGACAGCGCGACTATATCACTCAACCTATCTCAACCAGGCGAGAAAGCAAAAGATGGAGAGTGCTGAGCTATGGTGGCTTATAACCCCCCAGGGCTCAGCATACGTCACTACGTGACTTTTTTGGTATATTCTCTCGACCTATCTAGCTGGCGCTGCGATAATCCATAGTGTTTACACTGCCTCTGGCGGTCAGTAGGAATGAAACAGAACTTATTGTAAAGTGTTATCATCAAATCTTACTGACCCCAAACTTTTGAACAGTTGTCTAACTGTAAAAGTTTTGTTGATAGAAGTGGTCAGAGCTTAGGGGTAAGCAAGCGTAAGTTACTTACAACTAGGGATGTGCCGATACGAGTATCGGTACCAAACGGTTCACGGGGCAAATTCCAAATGGAATGATCATCACTATCCCCTTGGAGTGGGGACTTTGGAGTGAGCAGGGCACTGTGTGCCATTATGTAATAATTTGGAATGCACTTGGCAAAGCGAGGGACGTAATTTACTCATTATCTTCAGCTGGCATGTTCCCGTGACAACGCAGCAGCAAGGTGTCCGTCAGCAGATTCGCTGATGGACACCGGCATAAAACAAATATACATTTTATATTTTAAAAAGTTTTATATATATTAGTTTTATATATTATATAGCATATTTTAAAAACTTTTTAAAATATAAAATATATGTTTATTTGCAACAGTTATGCTAACAACAATAAAAAGACATTTATGACAGTAAAACATCTGCTGACGGACACAGTGCTGCGTTGTCACGGGAACATGCCAGCTGAAGATAATGAGGAAATTACGTCCCTCGCTTAGCCAAGTGAATTTCAAACGACTACATAATGGCACACACGTGCTCTGCTCACTCCAAATTCCCCACTCCAAGGGGATAGGGATGATCACTTCCATTTGGAATTTGCCCCGTGAACCGTTCGGTACCTATACTCATATCGGCACATCCCTACTTACAACACAATTTACCAAGTTTTGTACATCTTTAAAGAAAGATTGCGTGTGAGAGAGGCTATAAAGACTTTGAATTAACAAGATTTAAACGGATCTGAGACAATAGTGGTTCTCTTTTTGAGGCTCTCACGATTTCAGTAGGAAGTAGTTTCCTGACAGAATTCTACTGCGAACCACATTGTTGAAGCCTTCACGTCGTGTGGTGGTGTACATGGCATCTGTGGAGCTGTCGACTGTACTACGATGGCCTGAGGACAAAAAGGGACATTTTTAGAAACAGCACTTATCAAAACTCAAATGGAGATGTTAAACTTTTATTTTGTAATTGTAGCTTTAAAATAACCCCGACATTTTAAATCCATCATGTTTGCATGTATGTGCATCATGTGTTATAAGACATGTTTAAGCTTTATGTACCGTATTCAAGTCCATCAAAACGTGCCATGTTGGATGCAACCTCACAGCAACACAGGACGTGGTAACAGACAATAGAGTGTTGTGTGTGTGGCAGAGATACTTCCTGTACCCGCGCCCCCGCCTGCTCAAACATGGCTGCAACTCGACTCCACTGGGCCAGAGTGTCTGTAGACAGGCCCGGGGCGTGATATTCCTAAAATCATAGAAACTCTATTACAATATCATACAAACATAGGTTAATCTTACAATCTTATAATGAAATGTATGGGTCCTATTTCACCCAAAAATCAGAAAAAAGGAAGTCTATTTTAATGACATTATTATTTTTGTCACATTATTGTGCCTCAAATTCTCCTTACTATAAAAATAAATAAAAAAACAGTATACAGTAATGTCAATTTCATTACAGAATTACAGTAATCCATGCAGCATGAATTAAATTTAGAAATAATTATTACCATGATATATATATATATATAGATTGCAATTTACAAATTGACTTATGTAATTTAGGCATTTTTTCCACATTATAGTAACAAGAATTATATGCTTTCACATTATAATATGCTACAAAGGCAAAATAAAATAGGCTTTAACTTTCTTCAAGCAAAATATTTTTAAACAATTATTTAAAAATAATCAATATAATAAATATTAATATTTCTTAATTAAATAATATATATATTTAAGTCAAAATTTAATCTCAATAATTATTATATTTTTATATTAACGTAAAATGGATTTTCACTTTCATTATCTAAACATAAAATTTTGGACATATGATATTTTGATATGATAATAATTTGTCCAGCTTTAAAACAATGCTTGTTTGAATCATTGCGTTACCAGCCTACACCCTTCTGCTGTTAGCCACACTGAGCAGTCCCAGTGGATGGTCTGAACGCAGCTTTACCTTTGGTATACCGACACATATGTCTCTAATGTCAAAGTGTTCAGGAAGGCTAGGTGGGGTGCTGGGTGCCTGGACAGTTGTTGAGTCTCTCTCATCTGGGCCCTGCAGAATCCCTGAAAAACAGAACCATCCGAAAACATAAAGTACATATTTAAATCAGTGATCCTCAAATGTTAATCTCACACTCAAGCAGATGTCATACTCAAGACAGTGGCAGCATCATGGACACTCCTAGTCATGATTCCTGGCACATCCATTGAGTTGACCAGAGGGATGAGTCCGTGACGAGAGAGCAGGCCGTAAGTGGGTTTCAGAGCCACAACCCCACAGAGAGAACCAGGGTTTCGTGTAGAGCCTCCTGTATCAGATCCCAAGGCTCTAAAAGGAAAGACGTGTAGAGCAGATCAGATATATGTAAACATATTATCTGAAGCCTCATGTAATAATGTTTTTTACATACATAACTCACGGTGTGCACGTGGACACCTATTAATCAAATGCAGAGCACTACATTGCTACGCAAATACATTTTGTTCAATTAGGCACCAGTAAAGGCTCACAAGGACCAAAATTAGAAACGTGTTTCTGTATATCTACATCTGTTCTTAAAATAATGCTAAAATATTGAATTATATGATATATTATTTCAGATATATACAGAACTATTCCTCTGCCCTCATCTTAGAGCACATGCTCAAATATATGAACTAAGCTTTATGAGCATGCTTGTATTGAAGCAAAAGTCCAGGCATATATTGACTATTAAATATAGCTTGCGTGATATTATAGAGAGTTTAACACTCACAGGAAGCTGCTGAGAGATGCCACTGCTGCAGCACTACCTCCTGAACTTCCTCCTGCGATTGCCCAGTCAGAATCTAGATCTTCTGTGCTCTGCTCACGGTATAGGGTTGTGTAGCTCCATGGGTTACGAACTGGACCAAACACCCCATCTGTACTTCCAGCTCTTAAGAAAGACGCGCAGACATTAGCATAATCTATTGGTTTTTATAAATTATTTGCACTACAGATTAAACGTTCGGGTTGGTACATTTTTTTAAATCTTTTTAAAATACAGTAAAAGCAGTAATACTGCGGAATATTATTACAATTTAAAATAACTGTTTTCAAACTGAATATATTTTAAAATGTAATGCATTACTGTGAATGCAAAGTTGAATTTTCAGCATGTGACATTGAAGCTTCAATGTCACATGATCTTTCAGAAATAATTCTACATGCTGATTTGGTGCTCAAGAAACATTTCCTAATGTTATCAATATTGAAAACAGTTGTTCTGTTTAATATTTTTTCAAAATTGTGATACATTTTTTCAGGGGTCTTTGATGAATAGTGAAAGTTCAAAAGAACTGAAATATATATGTTTTAAACACTATAATGTAACAAATCAGCTCATGAGGAAATATGAATAATTAATCATAACTAGTTATAATTAATTATGAATATTTTAGATCCGCTGTAGATATTTAGCTGATCTCTCAGGGTCAACCGTCTTGTCAATTCTAAGAACGTTAATTTTCTGGTTAAGGGAAATAACTTCCTTACTGTACAATTCTACAAAAGCTTGTAGCATAAATCTGCATGATTAAGTGACTCAGTTATGAGCAAACAATGAACCACGTCAAGTGTGATACAAGTAAGGTTTTATTAACCACATAAACACTTAAACTAGTCTAACATACTACATAAACACATACACTGGTCTAACATACACATACACACACACACAC